CGTTCTTGCTCTGTAAATAAGCAGCGCAGAGATTTTTTTAATTAAAACGTGCGGGCTTTCTAATTAAAAAAAAGCGCTCATTCATCGATTCGCGCCGACTCGTCTTGAGATTTTTTTTTCGCGGCTAAAGGAATACTTTGAATGGAGGGTGGGGGGGGAGGGGGAAGAGAGAAACGAGAGAGAAGAGAGATAAGAAAGTAGTCGCGGCATCCTTTGAAAGAAACACAATTCCAGCGATCTTGACTAAGTTGGAAAGTGTTAAGATTGTGTTAAATTTTCCGCGAGAAATTTTTCGCGAAATTTCAACTCCCTATTTAATCGTCCCTTGGGTATCGTCCAAGTTGTTCGCAGTATAGAAACGTGACACGTTTGTTTGCAATGAAATAGCGTCTCTCGTGAGAAGTGGCCTTAATACTCTGCAAGTGATACAAGTCAACGTATAAGTCTACCTTTTGACAAAGTAAGTAATGTTTTTATCCTCTCGCGTTCACAGCGAGCAAAAATCTCCTTTTTTTTATTAATCAACTATTGCGTTTACAGGCGAGCAAACGAAATGAATTAAATCGTATTATATATTATATTAAATAGATAAATTTTTGTAATAAAATTATCCACTTGAAAATGGAAGGAGGCAGCGTTAGAAAAATGTCCGGGAGAAAATTGAATAAGGAGAGAAAAAGTTTTCTCTAAGATGCAGTACACCGTGATTAAACTTAATTCCAGCACCGCGTGAAAAATTAAACAACCTCGAACAAACCCCCTTCTTGACACATATATATATATATATATACACCCAGCCTGCTTTAAATTAAACCAACACAAATCATTTAAATTAGCAACGCAGAAGTTGCGAGAAAGACCTTGTCTCTTTTTTTTATTCTCGAGGGGAAAAAAGCGCGAAGTTGGGCGAGGGAACGCGTGGGGACAAAGGACAGGAGGAAGGGTGTGCGGGAAGGGAGGGTGAGCGTCTCGTTTCCACCGAGGGAAGGGATAGCGGGTTCGCCGAGCGGCGGCCAGAGGGCGTTGAATTTCCAACAACATGGCCGTCTAACACCGACACACCGTGCAACTCTCCACCAAGTTGACCAGTCGTATTTCGTGGAAACGAGGGAATTCGCACGAGGAAGCCGACGACACCTCGATCTCGTGAGTAGCCACGCATTTTTCACCATTATTTCCCGGGCCCTCTTTCCGATCCAACCACGAATCTCGTAAATGCGTCTCGAGTCGAGCTACGCTGCGTGATTTGATCGTTCGCCGAAGCCACGAACGCACCCCTCTCGCGTGTCTCGCCCTCGTGCGATGGTGTGCGTTGACATTGGCGATCAATAGAGCCGATGTCTGATGCGATATTTCGATCCGATCTCACTTCTCGATCGATTATTTATTCCCGTTCCTTGAAATTTCATCAATTTTACAGCAAGACTTTACATTGTATTTGTGAATTCTTTCAATTTGAATCCTTTGACGTTTCGTTCGAGCGAATGTTACGTTTCGTTTGTGATCGATAGTTATTTTTCTTTTTGTTCTTCTTTGAAAATTTCTGTACCAATTGTGAGAAATTGTGGAATTGCAGGAACGATCTCGTGTTATATTTATTTGTTCTGCAAGTGGTACGTACGGCGGCGTTTTATGAATGAATATCGAAGTAGAAAGGAGAGAGGGGGACATATATGCGTACAGTGTTTACAACGCTATTGGCGTATATCGTGTTCAATTCAGCCTGTTGTTCTATATTTGTAACTTGATGCGAGACAAAGGATCGTCTTTTTTCCTCGCGTTAGAAGAAATTAACAGACGTTGAGTCTTTCAAAATCATCGTCCGTGATTAACGCGTACGATCGATGCAGGTCAAATTCATCGACGATTAATAATTTCTTTCCCTTTTTTTCGTGTGTATATCGATGGACGAAGAAAGATGTACTACATTCGATATCTGTTTAACCATCCATCACCGTTAATGCCAAACCTTCTCTCTGAACGACACGCGTGAGCGTTTCCGTCTATCATAGAGACTCGTTTCGCTCGAACGAATGACCCTCTTCTGTTCTTCCTCCAATCCTCTTTCTAGGATTCTAATAAACGCCATTTCTACGCCGTTCATCCTTTTCTCTCTCTCGAGAGAGAGAGAGAAAAAAGGAAATGGTTCAACGATAATTTCCACGTCCAGGTTAGGTTGCTTCTGTTATTATCTATTGTTATTTTTTTATTACGCGAACGTCGCAACTCCCCATCAGGGTCTTATCTTTTACGAGTAGAAAGGTTTCTTTTGAGATGCTTGTTTATGTTCGAGTCTTTCTTTTTTTTCTTTTTTTTTTTAAAAATGAAATAATGGACAAATAATATTGGAAAATATATATAAAGTGATCGATTCCATCTATTTTAATTGTTTCGTTTTTGAGAGATTAGAATTGAGAAATTTTCAGAAATATATGGAATATATATATATAGAATTTTAAAAATGAAATATAATACAATAATTGAAAAATTAAAGTATTTTTCAATCCAGATGGAGAGAAGGTTACTGCAATGTAAAATTTTCAAAATATTTAAAAATAGATGTACGGTCACAGCCATGAAAAAGATTACATTTAATCACACGTTTAACGATGTTTGCCAGAAAAGGGGCAATTAGATGATCAAATTACCTAACGAACGATATTTAAATTCACCACGATTGTTTTACACGCTCGATTTGTATTGCAAATATTTTTAACTTCGTTATTCAAGATCGAACTTATTCCAATGTTGCAACGGTACGGTATTAATTTCGCTCTTAATCAGATAGTGCGCGCTTAATTAGCAGTAGTAATCTAATTCCGCCTGATGACCCGTTTCGCTTCCAACTATCGCGGGACAAAGGGTGATTTTCGCGAATTAAATAGCAATTGCCCGTATCGAGTTTTATCGTATAGAAATTTTCGATACCATCGATCGATAACGTAGGTAGGCTCGCTCGTCAATAATATCGTCGCTATATCGATGCATTCACGAACGTAATTCATAATGTCGGGGAATAAAACGTTCTATTTATCTTCGAAAATGGAGAAGTGGAGATTTTAAACGGAAATCGAAGCGTATCGATCGCTAGTCGATTCGCGCTAGTAGTCAAAATCGACGTTAAATCGGCCATCACCAACGATCGACTCGAAGATATTAATGCGATAACATTTCGCGCGTCGATCGTTGGACGAGAAATCGAACGGTTTTTGACAAGTGAACGGAAGAGTTTTAATCCGCGAACCGTTGCATATATCAACAGGTGCATAAAATTTTACGCGACTCGATAGATGCCTGCTCGAAATTACAATTGTTATCTTTTCACGTTGTGTATCATTTAACCAGGAATGGGAATTATCGAATGGCATTTATTGGTTATTTTTTTGGAAACTTGCTGATCGAATGAGAAATGAAATTTTTATTATGTTTTTCGTGAACGTCTCTGTGATAGAAATTTTATTTGTTTACAAAAATAATACACGGAATGAAAATAAAGATAAAATATGGATATTGTAAAAGGAATAGAATTTTATTTAGTAAAGACGGAAAATGGAGAGATGCAAATGATGAATAGACGTACTTGTTAAAGAAGAAAATAAAGAAAAGAGAAAGACCAATGATGGAAAGATACAAATGGTTGCAAAATATGCGTAAAAGAGCTGGGAAAAAAATTTCTGAAAGATCAAAAAATTGGGAAGAAAGGAATTTTTGAATGGGTTTCAAACTGTTATTTTACCGTCAAATTTCATTTTTCAAAATCTTTCTGCACAACATAAAATACGATATATCATTTTAAGGGAAACTGGTTGGGGAAGATAAAAAAAAAAAAACAAGAATTTTTTTTAAAATCTACAATTTTTTATACAATGTTTTTTATTCGTGAACGCAAAAAAATGATACAATTTTTCATTTAACTTTACACACCATTATAACCCCTGTCACCATTTTGAAAATGTTTCACTTGGCAATATTTTCAAGATCAAAAGTGATTTCACTTAAAAAAAAATAAATTTACATCACGAACAGACCACTCTACCATCACTATTTCACAATTTTCTACATATCCCTTGTCTTTCTTTTCAAGCTTCTTGAAATGACAAATTGGTTCGATAGAAAAAATAAAAAGGAAAAAAAATTCACAAATACATCACAGATAAAAAATACATCGGCAAAATTACCGATTAATTTAATCGTGTTTTGTAGTAGTACACACACTTTTAACCTAAAAAAAGAAGAGATTGGTTGGCATTCGAGTTAGCAGTTTGTTTGGCGTGGTTTAGGATTACTCATCGGCGCCGAAACAACAGTCTCAAGATCGATGCTGAGCACTCTCTCAAAAGTTCTTCCATCCACGGAGAGGGTTCCAATTCTCTTCCATCCACCTTTCGACGAAATTCCAACTTTTCCTTCGCCTCCTTTTACGATACCTTATCGAGGTATCGAGTGTCAACTGTAAACGTATCCCTTGGCTTGGGTGGAAGGCGTAGCAACCGCATTTTCCGTGGAAAGCGTTCAAGCAACGGTTCACACGTGCAACTATACCGATGATGGCCCAAATCGTTCCTCGAGTAATTTGTTCGATGCGAAGGCTGCTTGGATATCGCTTCTTTCGATGATAGCGCAATTTATTTGGAAAGAGGAAAGAATAAGCGTTGTGGTCGAATGTTTCATCGAAGATGAACGGTTAGAAAGTGAGTGAATATACGCGAATTTAATTAGAAGAAAATTGTATAGATGGTGGACTTTATGCAGCCTTAATTATTATCGCATTCGTTCGGAGATTACAAACTGATGGACTGTGTTATTAATCTTCCAGTAAGATATTTTTAATAATTTAAATACATAACGTATCCTATTGATTTTATCGATTTTACTTGGCTGAATAACATTTTCGAATTATACGATTATCCCGGCCGAATAATTTTCATTTTTATTTTAATTGATCGAATCGAAACGATTTTTCACTTGAATTTAATTAACTCGAGAATGAATTAAAAAATAAAAAATTATTCGTTTAAACTCTAAAAAATAAAATTACTATTTTCTACGATATTTATACACGAGATAATATAAACGAGTGATATTAATCTGTCACAGCATCTGTCACAGAATAAAGGACACATGTTCTAAGCCTGGGTTATTGGTCGATAATACCGTGTATCGAAACGGAAGAATAACACCGTTCGTCGTTTCAGAAAAGAATCCATCCCCCGGGTGAAGATTTGATACCGACTTTCCGGTAACATAAAATTCTCCTTTTACGACCTCTCTTCGAAATCGTTTTTATCGCGCCCCTCGTATTATATTACGAGCCACATATTCTGGGCAAGTTTTACGCGAAAATCGTGCCCATTTCTCGCCAATTTCTCATCCATTATCCTTTTTGAACATAAGGAGGAGAATAAAACGATGCTCGTGCTCTCGAATTAATCGCGTTTCGTCCTCCTTTTTCGATGATTGATCATAACGATACGTTCGAGAGAAACTGTTAAAGGATAACAGGGGAGAATAATGTTTGGTGGATTAATGCTGGCCATTAAATTTTGTCTCCTATTCTTAATTATATATATATATGTATATATATTTATGCGTGTGTGTGTAGGAGGAATTTATTATAGGTATGCTTAACCTTAAGATTTATTTACAGAGGGATATTTATGAGATTTTCTTGTTAGAAATTTAAAAGTTGGAGAGGCGACGAGAAGGAAACAAAGATAGTAGAAAGGGGAATAAATTTAATATTTAAAGAGGTAAATAGTCATTCTCCCCTAGTTATTAAAAATTCGAAAGTTTGACCCGTGCAAATCTGGGATATAATGAGAATAATGATCAAATACACGGGGGAAAATTCGTATGAAAATTATTTTAATTAAATATGTAACGTTTTATAAATATTTCGCATATAATCGATTAATACGATTCGTGGGCCAAAATAAAAAAGAAAGGTTTTGCTCTCTCAAGGCTAGCTCAAATCCGACATTTGATAAAATTTACGCAACTTTTTTTTTTAAATCGGCCGCGTCATTTTTCGAAAGTTCAATCAAGAAAAAAAAAAAAAAAAAAAAAAAAAAACGTAAAACGCATCCGACCAATATCGAAACCAAATGAAAAATTATGTATATACTCGGAATGGGAGAAACAATATT